AATGATAATCATAGTAAGTTTAGCTGTAAGCCGACCTTTTTGGTCATGTTGTAAGAAGTGATGGAGTAAAGCGGTTGAAGTAGAAGATAATATAATGTCCTTGATTAATTTCAAGCTTTGGAGTTTATATAAAATCGACGTGGTCAATGGATTTCTTGTTTTTTATCTTCAAGACAACAAATTGTCGATAGATGTGAATGTGAGATTGAAGGATGTGGCTAGAATTCTCTAGCAAGTACTGATAAGTTCATCAATGCATTGAGCCTCAAGTATTGTTTTTTCTTTGTCCAATTACCTCAAATGAAAATAATGTTATTGTCAACCAGGAACTCAATCATTGTCATAATTTTTTCTTCGGTGTATTTTATATAGGCATTTGTTATGATTTCTGTTTTACAAAATGTGATCCAAAAATAATTTCAACCATATATTTATATCTCCGTTTGCCTTTCTTTCAAAAGAAAGGAAGCTGCCATTATAAGAGAACAACGGCGTTTCTTCATAAGCTTTCTCGTAGCTTCCGGCTAAGAAACGTAATTAAGGTTCATCCTTCAGTGTCTAGAACATGGTCAGAGCAGTTTTTAATAGACATTGATTCTCAAATATTGAAGGCGGAAAAGGTCAACCAGCTCGATCTTAATTATTAGGAATGGGATCCATCAGTTTGGTATAGATTAATCTTAAGTTAGTTTTTAACACAGTCAATTACTCTATTGGACCCTTCCCTGTGGATGGGAACAGAGGAAAACTTTGGTAGCATGAATACAATTGTCTCATGATATCAAGTGTTGGTATATGAACAATGGAAGGAAATTTCGGCTGTTAATTTATGGCATAACTTCTTCCGTTGACATTTTGCCCCGTCCCTCTGCCCCTACATGGGTCACATTCTCAATTTATACAACATTGAGCCCCTATGGCACAAGTGTTTAAATAAAACTTGATTTGAATATGTTCATTTTTATGGAAAGCGAGGGATTTTAAGGATTTTTATCTCTGTTGCTACTATTGGGTCGGCTCCACTATCCCGTGTTTATACACAGTCGTCGAGTCCAGTTTGACCAACAATGGGCCTTAAGTTTAAGATTTGTTCACCCAACTATACTTCTTTCCTTAAGGATCTGATCTGCTTAGGTTTAAATCATTTTCAAATCTCGTTTTGATTTAGTGTAACAGGATTTTATTCAAAACAAACTATGATCAATTTTAAAAGCAAAATGCATCAGAAAAATGTTTCAAAAAACCAAGAAACCTATTGTTAAAAGAACAAAAATGCGGTATAGTAAGTGAACAATTTTGCGTCTATTTTGAACATCTGAATTTCTTAAGCTCCACGCAACGTCAAATTTTTACATTTTGACACTTGATTGATTACTGAAATTGTCATTGCGTCTCAATTTTTAATTGTGTTTATTATGTTGAATTTTTTTGCTGTACAAGTTAATAATCTTCTATAGTATGAAAAGAATATGTAACAATGTGGAAAATTATCCAATATTTATATTTATTCTGGGAAAGGGCTTTACATAAGTTGGACAACTTGTGCCCAATCCCTTTTGTACATTAGATGCAAATAAAAATATGTTTAAATCAGAAATTGGTATTTAAATACTCACTTATGTTAGCTGAAGCCCATTTTTCTATCCCGAAAACGTTGAAAAATAGCGCAAAAACAATGAGGGAAAGTTAGTCATCAGAACGTTTTATATCAATTGTAAATCAGCAAACACTGGTGAAAAAACAGGATTTTTTCTAAATTTGAAAATAAAGGGTAGGGATAATTATCTTTAACTGCTTTCTTGAGATCAAAAAACACACATTTCACCAAAAATATCACGTAAAATTCGAATGTTCGACCGATCTGAGCCAGATTTGTATTATTTTTATTTTCGCATATTCTCCTCTTTCAAATAAGGTATGGACAAAAAATAAGATAGTAGAAATGTTTAAGTTCAAGAGCAGATCCTTATAAAAACCCTTGGTGTACTTATGACTAGGAGCCTGTTTTTTTGTTAGGCTATGCAGGAGGTTCATGGTATGACCACAGCGGAGCGGCAGTTGACTCTCTTTGCCTACCACGAGATCCAGAATGGTTACAGACGACTGTTGTACCGGATGCTTACACAGGGAGGATTTATGGAGCAGAGTACGAATCTGTTAATGGCTATTCTCTATTCGGGCCTAAATCACACAATGAAGAGGTTCCCTGTGCTGTCTGTAGATCTACCTCCTTCGTTTCCTCTGTAATGATACCGGCGAGGACGACCTGCTACAGCGGCTGGACGAAGGCCTACAGTGGGTCATTAGCGTCGGGTTATTATGCCCAAGTAGCTGCTACCCAATATGTATGTGTAGATGAGAATGCACAGCCGCTCTCTGGAGGAGCTGATAGAAACGACAATGGTATGTTGTTTTATGGAGTCAAAGCTTTCTGTGGCTCTCTGCGATGCCCTCCATATGAGCAAGATAAATTCATAGCTTGTGTAGTTTGTATGAAATAAATCTTTAAAAAAAAAGTTTTCTTGCATTTTTATGAAATAAACAACACCAAAGATGTCTTGAAGATTTCAAAACAAATATTTGTATTTTCTCTCGTATTATTCTTTTGGTAATCTTACACGCAGCAGATGACCACTAAACATAAAGGATCTCAACAATTGTCTCTATCAAA